CTGATCACGTACTCGACGGACATCGGTTGGAGTCCATACTTCCCATTACTTTCGGGTATAATCACAGAAATCGGTGGAACGATATCTCACGGGGCAGTCATTGCCCGCGAATACGGGATCCCGAGTCTGATAGCAGTGGAGGGCGCGTGTCGTGCCTTCAGGACCGGCGATATCTGTCTATTGGACACTAAGACACAGACCATCACTAAAGTCGAGTGAATTCGTTATAGCATTAGAAATAATTAAATTAAATAATAAAATGTTGATTCGTTACGATTGTGTGTAAAATGTAAAAGTCAATATTAAATGAGTTATATTAAAAATCAATCCACTCCTTATTTAACATAGGTTCATGTCACATAATATAACATATGAATTTGTTAAATAATCAAAGTAAATCTGAACACATACTCTGTTTGCAACCCACTTCAGAACCTTTGTTTGCAATAATTAGCTAATAACATTAACACCTTGCTCATATAACCTATCCAGTTATATTTATATTGTAATTAATCAGACTCTGAATGTCTATTTTTGAGCTGTAATACAACACATTATCAGATAGGCACATATCAGATATGGTATCAGAATGTAACACTACTTTACAGCACATGTGCCGACAATAACAAACTTATTGCAATTTTAACTAAATAACTGAAATAAATTTTATTAGCAACAACTTGTTAACTTAATTCACTAAATATTTGTATTGAAATTTGTAACATACATGTATATTGAATCATTTCACGTACTATAAATGTATATTATTCTAGTGTTACTGTGATATAAACGTCATACATATTGACTCATATGGCTTTCACTTAAGTATAAATATCACAATACTTCTCATTCGTTTCTATCGATTGACTTTAAAAGTTGATTAAAACATTTTTGAATTAATTTAAGTTTTAGTGAATTAATGATATAATGGGTCTCATAGTATCAATGCCTCAATTCTGGAAATTATGGTCAATGAGAAGACAACAGAAGACAAACCGAATAATTACTCATAACGTGTGGAAGGATTCGGTCCACGACTCGGGTATTGTGTCCTTTCCTCACGAGTGGACTTACGACAGACCCTCACAGGTATTGTCAATGAGAATTAAATAACAAATTAGATTAATAATGAATGTAATTATTACACATGATGTCTATAGTTTACATTAAATGATTGCCATAAATTAAATGTGGTAAAACTTTTTACATTTAAAAAATAGTAAAATTAAGACAATTATTTAATTTTAAAAATTAGGTTAAATATTATTAAATATAATTCTGATGAATAAAAAATACAATAAAATATAAATATGAGTTAAAAATTAACATTAATATTATGATAACAATTATGATATAATAATTATATGTATTAATAGACAAAACCCGAAGACATTTTGATATATGGCGTGAATTCATCGAAACAAAGCATTTATATTGCAATCAAATGGAGACCAAAAGGAGTGAACGATAAGATCAATGCAACCATTAGTTTGAGATTTGATGACAACAACAGTAATAGCTATACATTAGAGGAGGACTCGGAGGTCGAGTACCGGAGCAATGAATACAGAGTGTGTGGACTCGGCTTAGAGATTATGTCACCCTTTAGAAGAAAACGCATTAAGTTTAGGGGATATCTCACGAAGAATGACAAGGATTTAGTTTATATGAGGTTTAGATTCTTGTGGTACTCCATCTCAAGAGTTGCAGACTTTACCTATGATTTCAACGATCACTTTATGGCCAAAGAGATGATGAGATCCAAGAATAGAGACAATGAAATTGTGGATCAATTAGAAGACCGTTTCGAACAATTTGGACAAATGAAAGGCAATTTCAAAGAAGATATGGAAGAAGAGAAACAATTATACTTTTGGGGATCTATTAGTAAAAAGTTTTTAACCACAAAACAAGTGAATAGAAATATTAAAAGGATTATTGGATACACTAAAGAAGGTAACAATTAATAAATAAAATAATTAATAACTATTAAATAATTAACAAAATATTATAGGAATTGGTTTTCATTTGGGATTTGTATCCAATAATAATGGATATGAATATCGATTTGGATTCCTATTCCACAAAAAAGGACGTCTTTTAAAACTCACGGATTTATCGCTTAAAAAACAAAACTTCGAGGAAATAAATGACCAAAACTTAATTCATTTTAAGGCAAAGTTTGATGAAAAGGATTACAACTTTAAAATAGAAAGCAATGAAAATAGTTTTGCAAAAAAAGTTTTAATCAATGAATTCGAGGGAATGTGTTATATATTAGACGAAAATGAGACACAAATACAGGAATGTATTAAAAGCTGTAAATTCTTAACAAATGATTTGTCACTTGTTTTGCTATTCAATGAATTGAATGCAAAACGCGTTGACTTAAGTGGAGGTAAAGGAAGTTCTTTAGCGGTTCTCAAGAGTTTGAGTGAAGATTTGGTTAAAGAGAAGTACGAAAACACATTCAATGTTCCGAATGGTGTTATTGTGACCACAAATGCATACAAAAGACTTCTTAACGATAATAAAGATTTGGTTAAAAGTATTGAAGACTTGGAAAAGTCGACTGAATTGTCGACAAAGGAATTGAAGACGAAATGCAAGAATTTAATGGATTTGATATCAAGTCGTGAATTACCTGAAGATATAAAACAAGAAATAAAAGTGAAATTAAGTGAGAATTTCAGTGATTATGAGAAGAGATTATTTGCCGTCAGATCTTCGAGCGCTTCAGAAGACTCGGAGGAGATGTCAGCCGCCGGACAAATGACTACATATTTAGGAGTTATAGGTATTTATACATACAATAAATTTAAATGAATGGTATCTATAATTGTGTTGCAATACATTAGGATTGGATGAGATTTACTCATCAGTGATGAAGTGCTGGTCTTCACAGTTCTCTCACATCGCATACGAGTATAAGAGAGGTTACGGACAGACCATTAATACCCCGATGGCTGTTGTGATCCAAGAGATGATTG